ATATATAATTGCACCTCCCTGGCGTGAAGGTGAGCATCTTACACGCTTTCTCGGAAAGCCTTCAGTAGAAGCGAGACTGTGATTATCTACGAGGCGCTGTCTCGCCTCCTGCATACAAAGTCATAGAAAACAATATCAGTATTCATAGCATAAGAGGCTCAGGTTCTTGCTCTTTCCGTCCACCTTCACTTTGGATTTCCTTTTGCGCGGCTCCAATGTCTTCGTCAAAATCGCTCATTTGACAATTCTCTTCTTTTAAATTACAAGACAATCAACGTGCCCTCCTCTCAGTCAAAGAATATAAGATTGAAAAATGAACTCACGTCTACAATGTACTCTCTTTCTAGTTCCCGAACGATGCGCCCATTCTGACGCTTACCGTATTGCCATATGATGCGCGATACAGCCGAATTTACAGCAAAGTATATATCTTGGTAATTTTGCAGTTTTCGCGAGTTCCTGTAGTATGAATATCTCGGTTACGATATTGCTTTTGTTGAAAGGGAAACTGCGAAAAGAAAGCAACACAATGTAGTATAGCATCTACTACATTACACTCAATGTTTCTCAGAATCAGCTGATAGAATTCTTCGGACAACGTCATCTGGTCCAGAAGTTCGACTTTGTACTGGAGAAAGAAGGGCGCGAGCGAAATTTCCACATTGATTTTGAACCACATTGCAAAAATCATTTCACTCTATCACCATCATTTCAAGCAAAACAAGCGTAATTTGCACATCAAAATGTGCCACCGCAACCTCACAAGCCCAACCATCGCTTTGACTCCACATCCAATACGAAGTATTGGCATTGAGCAATGGGCTTCTACGAAAAGTGCTCCTTTCGGGCATTTCGTGGGTGTGGGTGCTGTTCTTGAGATTTCGTTGTCCTCCGACTGCCACAACTGCAATTATTATAGCCTCTCTTGAAACGCTTTCGCTTCTGCATCTGCACGATAGAAGAAAATACTGCCATGGACCAATTTGCAAATGCACCTAATCCGGCTGCGCTGTGGAGGGCTATGTATAACCTGAAAGTGATATTGTGAGTGATCAGGCCTCAGCACGGAAATTACGAAGTCCCCTTTGCAATGTACAAACGCGTGCAATCAGGGCAAGCACTGCAGTGCCGTATACTTGGAGCGCGTTTTCTTCATTAAGGAAAAACCATTTAGGGCCCTAGCAAGGAAGGGAAAAAGTGCTATGATCTGGTTATTGTGCTGTAAGTTGGGTGAAGGGGTGCACAAAAAGTGTTTGCTATAAGGAACGTAAAATTATGAGAAACAAAAAAGTGTTTGCTAATCGGAGACCTGAGGTCTCCCGTAGGTCTCCGTGGGAGACCTAAACTACAAAAAGGTACGACGATTTTTACATTCTCATTTCAAAGATTTTTCAAACAATTCATCTACTCTATGTTGCGCATCTTCATCAAATATTTGGTGACCATTCATTGCCTATTCGCCTAAAAAAACGGTTTTATCTTAATTTTTTGAAACTCTTTTAAATTTCTCGCGCTAATGCCCGCATTGAAACAGAATTTGAATCCTTGCTGGAGCAGGTTTTTAAACAGTCTAAAAAGGTGTGAACTCTGAATTAAATATTGAATAAGAAGGAAATACTCAGACCGTTGCATGAACATCCGCGCTAAGGAATCTTGTTGTGGAAAAAGCGGTCATAACTGAGAATGAACTGCAGGCTTCTCTCTAGACTCCATACGATTTCCCCTTTGCTTTTTCCACAAAAACGAATTGCAGCTTGTCTTCTGGAGACCTGCCGTCGAGGTTTGTGAGTGATACAATTACATGTAGTCTTAAAAAGTAAGAAACGAGCAAATTTGTATCGGTCAAGACACTTTTTTAAAAATTATTTTTCAACTCTTCCTAGACAAAGATATGCGGATTATACACATAACAATAAAGAATAACAAACACACCCATCTGTGTCCGTCACCGGCGCGATGCCTTAATGAAGACCCATATTTATCCTTTATGAGCGGGTGTTGAGACTCTTGGGCGAAGGATGGGCCCGTATAAGAAACAATGAGAAATGTAAGACACAGGTGATTGGTGGTTTAGTGTTTATTACGGATAGTGTACCGAGAACAACGAGTATGACCTTAGGTGGTCCCAGCGTGTGGAAGAGTGCGTGAGGGACCTCGCAATTAGCATGAGATAGGCATAGCCCGCCCCTCACAAGAGGTCAGATACGGTAAGAGAAGGAATCATCGGTTCTACGATGATACCCTTAGCACTGAGCAATGCAATATGGTAAAGCAAGATATTTCTACCTCTAGTCATGATATGGTGAAGCAGCTGTTTCTCCCTCTAGTTACGTCATAACGCTGTCGCCGCTGCTTAAAGCAGATTTCAATGAATGTGATGGTGAGACCTCGCAAACAAGGAGGCGCTCTTTACAATTCAATCAATTTTGAATACACACTTGCTTCTTGCCTGATACATCTATACAAAACTAGCAACGCTTTCACTAAGTTGTTCCTCACATCAGCGGTTGCATTTCCCGCCTTAAGACGACACATATGCTTGACAATGATTTCAGATGAGTAGACCATATCGTCTGTCGTTACCATTTGAACTATTCTCGAATTTAGAAGAGATAGGCTGTTTAATATCCTGTAAATATCGGTGTGTCTTGTCCTACAGTCAGCATTCCCTATATAGAGGCTAAATAGGTGATGAATGGAGATTAGCATTGCCCAACATGTACCTGTGCCGAAAGATACAAAGTCAAGCTATTAAAAAATTTGCGAATATTCAAGGCGAAATTTATTTTCCAGCTTACACCTAAATTTCATATTTTGTCTAAAAGCCTCCACGTTCCTACAGGTTATCGTAGGCTTCAAGAAGTTTTTTATTTTGCTTTACAAATTAAAAAATGAACAACTACAACAGAAACATGCTGAGCAAAGATGTATAAACACTATACAGTATGAAAAAATGGCGCAAAATCCCCATGAAGAAAGATGATACAACGAAAACTGTGAAAGTCAAGAGGCCTCGTTGATTTAACATTTGCATGCGCCACGTTAGCAAAATCAGTCTCTTTCGTAAAACCCTCATTTTAAAATCACTACAACTAAATTAATTGAATCAACGTATGATGAGGGATCCCACAGATATTCAATCAGTTTGAAGTTGTCACAGTATCAAATTAGAACGTTATGGCGCTGAACTAATAGGATGAGATTTCGACTTTGGGTGAAAGGGAGGGGTTAAGCGAAGCTGTGGCACCCAAAGCGGGTATCATCTGGGTCCAAGAGAGGAGAAAAGCTCTTGGTAAAGGCTGCTAAGGCATATGAAGGCTTCTGTCACAAGTTCTCTTAACAAGCTTACAAGCATAACAATTCAAGCATTAGAATCAACATCCTTGAAGAATAACCCTAGAAGAGAATAAATCACGCTTAGAGCGTACAATCAAAAAAGAAAGCACGGATAAGGCACACCGGCAACAAGAACTCAACAAAAATCACAACAAAAACAAACAAGAACGTACTATAGCCATTAGCCACTAAGAATCAGGTTTTTTGTTGGTTCATCTATCAGATCGGCAAGCATTCGTGCAGTATATCTGCGCGTAGGACTAGGATCCAGGCAATGCGTGAGCACTTCGAATGCAACTCGCTCATTTCCAGTAAGTTTGCTGATAGACTCAGACTCCGAGCGTTTACCTAAAGTCATTCATTACATTCAGAAAGTCAATACAAGTAATCACTAAAACCTCAGTCTATGCTTATCTTCTAAAAACAAACCCAGCATTTATTCACAATTACCCTTAGCAAATCAATAGACTTCCTAAATCTTGTACATATATGGTACCGAACAAAGCTAAGAAGCTTTTTTACACGGTGTTTCGTGAAAGTCATTTGTAGTCAAAGAATGAACACATGAGGAGATTACAAAGTTTTACAGACTCACAAAAGCAGAATCCGGAGTTGTTTTGATATATTAGTGCCATGCACGAACGACAGCCTGGTTTACAACCCTCCGCTTCTCGAATATCCTTAGGGAAGTTATTAACCTAAAGCTTTGCTGACAAAAGCGATCAAGTGGCAAATAGAAAAATATCTTTACTGCAGAGAAAAGTGAAAATAAGTCAAGACAAAGAGAAGCCTCCTCAGAAAAAAAAACCGCATTCGATAGAGAAGATTGATCAGTGTACAGTGCTTCCAGCAACGAAGTTTCACATATTAATTAGCAAAATAGGTTTTAGTGTTCCTCATGAACATTCAAAACTCGCCCGTGCTCAGACTTTTTCTCAATTGATAAGGCGCACACCGTTCAAAAATACTGAAAAAATCCAACGAATGCTTATCTATACGTATGATAAATGCGCAGAAAGAATAAAAGCCAACAAAGAATTTAGCTACTGATTATTAAAAAATGGAAGACTCACTAGTTTTACCATATCCATACCAGGCAACGGTGGTTCACAAAGAAATGTTACTCCACCTTCGGCTGCTGCCTAGAAATTCAGAAATCTATACAACTCATTGAGGATTCTGAATCTTCACGACAAAAGGATATGGATAGAGCGTATTCGGTATAACAAGAAGGTAATTACACAGTATAGACAGTTTCACTTGGAGAGCCCTGATAATTTACCTGCACTAACGA